GTGTCTTCAGCACAAAGAAAACAATTGTGCTGTGAACTGCTGCTGACCGGTGGAAGAGACTGAATGAGACTGTATGAGAGCGTATAAGAACATATGAGACTGCATGAGACTGTATGAGATCATATGAGAATGTGTGAGACTATATGAGACCGTATGAAACTGTATGAGAGTGTATAAGAACATATGAGACTGTATGAGAGCGTATAAGAACATATGAGACTGCATGAGACTGTATGAGATCATATGAGAATGTGTGAGACTATATGAGACCGTATGAAACTGTATGAGAGTGTATAAGAACATATGAGACTGTATGAGAGCGTATAAGAACATATGAGACTGCATGAGACTGTATGAGATCATATGAGAATGTGTGAGACTATATGAGACCGTATGAAACTGTATGAGAGTGTATAAGAACATATGAGACTGTATGAGAGCGTATAAGAACATATGAGACTGCATGAGACTGTATGAGATCATATGAGAATGTGTGAGACTATATGAGACCGTATGAAACTGTATGAGAGTGTATAAGAACATATGAGACTGTATGAGAGCGTATAAGAACATATGAGACTGCATGAGACTGTATGAGATCATATGAGAATGTGTGAGACTATATGAGACCGTATGAAACTGTATGAGAGTGTATAAGAACATATGAGACTGTATGAGAGCGTATAAGAACATATGAGACTGCATGAGACTGTATGAGATCATATGAGAATGTGTGAGACTATATGAGACCGTATGAAACTGTATGAGAGTGTATAAGAACATATGAGACTGTATGAGAGCGTATAAGAACATATGAGACTGCATGAGACTGTATGAGATCATATGAGAATGTGTGAGACTATATGAGACCGTATGAAACTGTATGAGAGTGTATAAGAACATATGAGACTGTATGAGAGCGTATAAGAACATATGAGACTGCATGAGACTGTATGAGATCATATGAGAATGTGTGAGACTATATGAGACCGTATGAAACTGTATGAGAGTGTATAAGAACATATGAGACTGTATGAGAGCGTATAAGAACATATGAGACTGCATGAGACTGTATGAGATCATATGAGAATGTGTGAGACTATATGAGACCGTATGAAACTGTATGAGAGTGTATAAGAACATATGAGACTGTATGAGAGCGTATAAGAACATATGAGACTGCATGAGACTGTATGAGATCATATGAGAATGTGTGAGACTATATGAGACCGTATGAAACTGTATGAGAGTGTATAAGAACATATGAGACTGTATGAGAGCGTATAAGAACATATGAGACTGCATGAGACTGTATGAGATCATATGAGAATGTGTGAGACTATATGAGACCGTATGAAACTGTATGAGAGTGTATAAGAACATATGAGACTGTATGAGAGCGTATAAGAACATATGAGACTGCATGAGACTGTATGAGATCATATGAGAATGTGTGAGACTATATGAGACCGTATGAAACTGTATGAGAGTGTATAAGAACATATGAGACTGTATGAGAGCGTATAAGAACATATGAGACTGCATGAGACTGTATGAGATCATATGAGAATGTGTGAGACTATATGAGACCGTATGAAACTGTATGAGAGTGTATAAGAACATATGAGACTGTATGAGAGCGTATAAGAACATATGAGACTGCATGAGACTGTATGAGATCATATGAGAATGTGTGAGACTATATGAGACCGTATGAAACTGTATGAGAGTGTATAAGAACATATGAGACTGTATGAGAGCGTATAAGAACATATGAGACTGCATGAGACTGTATGAGATCATATGAGAATGTGTGAGACTATATGAGACCGTATGAAACTGTATGAGAGTGTATAAGAACATATGAGACTGTATGAGAGCGTATAAGAACATATGAGACTGCATGAGACTGTATGAGATCATATGAGAATGTGTGAGACTATATGAGACCGTATGAAACTGTATGAGAGTGTATAAGAACATATGAGACTGTATGAGAGCGTATAAGAACATATGAGACTGCATGAGACTGTATGAGATCATATGAGAATGTGTGAGACTATATGAGACCGTATGAAACTGTATGAGAGTGTATAAGAACATATGAGACTGTATGAGAGCGTATAAGAACATATGAGACTGCATGAGACTGTATGAGATCATATGAGAATGTGTGAGACTATATGAGACCGTATGAAACTGTATGAGAGTGTATAAGAACATATGAGACTGTATGAGAGCGTATAAGAACATATGAGACTGCATGAGACTGTATGAGATCATATGAGAATGTGTGAGACTATATGAGACCGTATGAAACTGTATGAGAGTGTATAAGAACATATGAGACTGTATGAGAGCGTATAAGAACATATGAGACTGCATGAGACTGTATGAGATCATATGAGAATGTGTGAGACTATATGAGACCGTATGAAACTGTATGAGAGTGTATAAGAACATATGAGACTGTATGAGAGCGTATAAGAACATATGAGACTGCATGAGACTGTATGAGATCATATGAGAATGTGTGAGACTATATGAGACCGTATGAAACTGTATGAGAGTGTATAAGAACATATGAGACTGTATGAGAGCGTATAAGAACATATGAGACTGTATGTGAGTGTATAAGAACATATGAAACTGTATGAGAGTGTATAAGAACATATGAGACTGTATGAGACCGCAGTGGAAGACGGGAGCAAACGCTCAAGCATCATTCATGCTGACATTCTAGAGTCTCAAAGACAATTCATATTCAGTAATATCATCGATTTAACGCACTGACAGTTGTTATCAGTTCATATGCTGCCTGTGAAATCCCTGCTGTTTTGAGCAATATGATCCGCTCTACAGCAATCCTGATGCACTGAGAAGAGCATCTCTGCAAATGCTCTTTGATTAGATTTCTGGTTTGATCCTGCAGAGAGTCACCGTCCTGAATCATCTCGTCTCTCATTCCCCGTCAGTATTTATCAGTACTAGTGTTTTACTGTGGGTCTCTATGCCTCACTGTCATGTGGTTTCTGGGTCTCAATTTAGGGCACAGATTCACTCTCAGCAGACTCCAGACGTCTGAGTGATGAGTGCTGCTCTTCCAGAAACTCTCAGCGACTGTGTGATTGTTCAGAGGGACGTTTCTGAGTGGGTTTGCTCACATTTGGTATCCAGAATGAGGCGCTGAACACGCTCCTGCGGTGTCTGTTTCATTCATACTCTCACGCAGAAAGTCCAAAACGGACTCATAATAACTTATGAAGTGCAGGAAATCCCTAATATGGACAAAAGCATCCGGCTCTCACTGTAGGGGAACTGATATCTGCTGTAGCTGAGCTGAATAAACAGCAGAAACGTTCTGACGGATGAAACGCGAAGACAATAAACACACAACTGCAGAAATATATGGTTTATGTGTGTTTTTCCAAGTCATCTCCAGGTAATAAATAAATAAAGTATATGAATAATGCAGGGCTAATTGACATATCATTTAGTATAGAAACTATCAGATATATGTTCTGCCTTATTCTGTGATAAAAATGGGGGGAAAGTGTTCTAGTAGCCTGCCATTAGGAAAATCTAGGACGAAAATATTATAGAGTTACAATATGTAACAGCAATAAAGTCTTAAATCAAATATAAAGTCAAGAAAGGCAAGGGGAAAAAATACATACAATTACATTTAAGAAAAGTAATTGAAAGAACAACATTTATTGAGAAATAAGTTCTTGCAAGAGGTAAGAAGAAGTGCTTGAGGAGGATGCTCAAACACTTCTGTGATATTCATTTAGTCAAGTGTTTTTAAGAGTAATAACGTCACTATTGATGTTTAACTTACTCTAAACCCTGTAATATGAGAGCTACGCCGGGGAAAACACCACACTACAGAGCACTATTTCTGAACCACACAGAAAGGATTATTATTATATGTTTCACGCATTCGTCACATCAGTCCATGAAGGCCTCTACACATGGTGCCAATCAGAACTATTTCAATAGTTATGCTGAAATGCTAATCATTTATTACTAGTTTATTCCAGTGTGTGAAACACAAACAGAAACTGTACATTGAATATAATATATAAATTTAGTCGAGGAGTCTTAATTTAGTTTGAGACGCTCTGCTCTCTCTGATTTAATATAGATGATGATATTCACATACATTTTCAAGAAAATCAAGAAATTGTTGTTGTTATGGTTCTTAATGTGACAAATGTGAATCTTTGCACAAATGCATTATAAGAGACAAACATTCATCTCAAAGATCATTTTTACGACTGTTTTGTTCTGTAAGTCATCATGATGTCACCTACTAAAGCTCTCAGTGTGAACACACACACATACACACACTCTCTCTCTCTCTCTCTCACACACACACACACACTCTCTCTCTCTCTCCAGCAGCGCTCACATGAACGCTCCCAATCAAATTATTTAGTATAAGCATCAACATTCACAAACCACTGTTCACTGTTATTTTTAACAGAAAATAATGCAACGTGCTCGTAATCACGACTTCATAACTGGGAAATAGGACATTTCCAATAGCACGTGAAGACAGCAGAGAAGCGCTCTCGCTCAGCACAGTGGAGTGCATCGTTTTGTTAACTTTGTGGTTTATTATTAAATAAACCATTAGAGCTTGTCGAGCTGCGGGGAGAGTCAGAAGGAACCGAGTGGTCGGACCGAAGCGAGTCATTTGGCGTGTTTGAGGAGGAGCTCAAGCGCTAAACTACACACTCAGAGTTTCCCAGAGCTCCTCAGCAGTTTGAGTGCGTTCCTGTGATCAGGATGTGTGTGAAGCGGTTACTCTGGAACATGAGCTTCATGACAGACTGCATCTGCTCTCATGGAGCTGCACTCTAACACCATCATCATCATCATCATCATCATCATCATGTGGTAGAAGTCTCTCTGGCTCAGTCCGGCTCTTCTCCAGGATGGCTGGCTTCAGCAGCACTGTGCACCTCTCTAGGATTCCCTGCACTCTTGTGGGATGTTCTGCCTGTCAGTGAAGCAGAGTCGAGCTTGGTGAAGACTCATCAGAGGACTGAGATGATGATGATGATGATGATGATGCTGCTGGTCAGTTGGGGCGCTTTTCTCCAAACCTGCTCGATGATGATGATGATGGTGAGAGCAAACCAGCAGGACCTCAGAGAGACCAGCTGCGACCTCAAAGCCAGAGTGAGTGCTTTCCTTTATTCAAAAGTTACAAATCACTTCCTTAAAGTAGATATTACTAATCAAATCAGCAGTTCATGAACATTCACGGTGGAAATATGAATATGTACATAAAAGTTAAAGTTGCGTGACATGAACTGCTTTAATATTAAATAATATAGGCCCAATAATGACAGTGATTTAAAGTTATTAAGCGCCTTCAGCTCTTTGGAACATGCATGTGTGATAATGGCGTATAAACACTGCATCTGACATGTAACCGGTGACATATTTGTCATTTGCACTAAATGGATTTAAATCACAGAGTTTGAATGGAAGATATAGCTCTGAACTCTAGAAAACAGTCACTGATAGAGTTGTATAGGCTCATGTTGCTGAACATAAATCACGACGCTTCTGCATTAGCTGACAGTGTTGTGTTTAGAATAAACTTTCTTTAAAAGTATTTCTGTTGTGTCAGACAGACTGTCACAGTTTTCGTTCTGGACACATTAGATATGAACTGTCTATAAGGCATTATCAGCTGCTGAATAAACACCAGCTCTTCAGGGTTTGTGTAGTGCAGCATCAGAAACACACAAGCTGCATTGATTTGAGTCTCAGAACATCATCATCAAACTTCACGAGCTCCAGGAGTCTGTTAAATGTTTACAAGCGTACGTCTTCGTCTCATTAATCTGAGAGAATGAAAAAACACTTTATGTTGAGACAGAGTGACATAGACTGGCCGATATTGAGGCTACTGCTACAAACACAGAAGCTCTTTCCCTTTCAAAGCAGCATATTATACTGATTTCTGAAGATCATGTGACACTGAAGACTGGAGGAATGATGCTGAAAATACAGCTGCGCATCACAGAAATGCATTACAGTTTAACAGAGATTCACATAGAAAACAGTTATTTTACATTATAATAATATTTCACAATTTTTACTGTATTTTTACTGTGTCAAATAAATGCAGCTTTGCTGAGCAGGAGAGACTTCTTTTATTGATGTCACTAATGTTTCAGCATCAGCCTTCTCTCTCTGTCTCCAGCAAAGCGAGCTCAACTCCTTCCTGTGGACGATAAAGCGAGACCCTCCCTCGTACTTCTACGGCACCATTCACGTCCCGTACACGCGCGTCTGGGACTTCATCCCCGAGAACTCCAAGCAGGCCTTCCAGCAGAGCAGCATCGTGTGCTTCGAGCTGGACCTGACCGACCCGTACACCATCTCCGCTCTGACCAGCTGCCAGCTGCTGCCGCAGGGAGAGAACCTGCAGGACCTGCTGCCCAAAGACATCTACCGGCGGCTCAAGAGACACCTGGAGTACGTCAGGCTCATGCTGCCGTCCTGGATGACGCCGGAGCAGCGGGGCAAGGGCCTGTACGCAGACTACCTGTTCAACGCCATCGCCGGGAACTGGGAGCGCAAGCGGCCCGTGTGGGTGATGCTGATGGTCAACTCTCTGACCGAGGCCGACATCAAGACGCGCGGCGTTCCTGTGCTGGACCTGTACCTGGCGCAGGAGGCCCAGAGGATGAGGAAGAGGACGGGAGCCGTGGAGAAGGTGGAGGAGCAGTGCCATCCTCTGAACAGATTCAGCTTCTCTCAGGTGAGGGTGTGAGGACCAGTTTATCTTTACAATACGTCCATCACAACCGGAGCTTATTTTGGAATAATTACCATTTTTAATGTTTTTGAAAGTCTCTTCTGCTCATCAAGGCTGCATTTATTTGATCAAAAATACAGTAAAAATAGCTAAATATTATTAGAATGTAAAACTGCTGTTTTTTATGTGAATATCTGTTAAACTGTAATTAATTTCTGTGATCAAAGCTGAATTTTCAGCATCATTACTCCAGTACAAAACAGTTGTACTGATTCATATTTTTTTCTTTTTTAATAACATTATTAATAAATGAGCACCAATAATAACTGAGCAGCAGATCAGCATATTATACTGATTTCTGAAGATCATGTGACACTGAAGACTGGAGGAATGATGCTGAAAATACAGCTGCGCATCACAGGAATACATTACAGTTTAACAGAGATTCACATAGAAAACTACGGAAGTTCTAAGCGGCCGTGTATTATTATTTTTTTCCTTCTTGTTTTCTCGTTATAACGACTTAATTTTCTCGTTATATCGACATAACGAGGTCGTTCATATTCTATCCCAAACGCGTACAGTAAAGTGGACATACAGTATAGCCTACAACACCCCATCAGTTATATTCAGGTCAATAGCGCCACCTGTTGGCGCAGTTTTGTAACTTAGAGAACAACTTTTTTTATGTCGAGATCACGAGAAAATGAAGTCGTTATAGCGAGAAAACAACTCTCGTTATGTCGAGATCACGAGAAAATTAAGTCGTTATAACGAGAAAACAACTCTCATTATGCCGATATAACGAGAAAATTAAGTCGTTATAACGAGAAAACAACTCTCGTTATGTCGATATAACGAGAAAATAAGTCGTTATAACGAGAAAACAAGAAGGGGAAAAAAAATAATGCATGGCTGCTTAGAACTTCCGTAGAAAACAGCTGTTTTACATTGTAATAATATTTCACAATTTTTACTGTATTTCTGATCAAATAAATGCAGCCCTGGCGAAACGTCTTTCAAAAATATTTTTAAATTGGATTTATTCCGAACTTTTGAGCACTAGTGTAGAAATAGTGTGGCGATCAATCTGTGCGGTTGCTTGTTGTACTGTACTTATTTACACAGCGCACTTTTTTCATTTCTGGCTTTATTGTGAGGTGTTAAATGCATGCATTCAAAAATGTGCGAGGAGCTTAAAACGCAGTGAGACCATCTAGAAAAACACTTAAAAAGCACCGCAGCTGAATGCAAAAACATGTTCTGTGTGAACGACCTGAGCATCCGGAGCGAAGTGAAAACAGATTCAAACGAGCAGCAGTTTTTAGGCACGGCATAGATTGCATGTCTAATGCATGCCTGCAGGGGTTTTGCTGGATGCTGTTTATCAGAAAACTAGCGGTTTGGGATTTTAATGGCTGAAATCTAGAGGACAACGCCATGCTGAAACATCAATGACAGCTAGGTTTATACGCTTAGTAACAGGTCTCCTGTGCTGTCTCAGTGCTCTCGCATTAGCTGCTTTTCTCTGGTCAGAGAATGAGTATAAAACAGTCACTGTCAAGTCACATTTATTTCTAAAGCGCTTTATACAACACAGATCGTTTCAAAGCAGCTTCACAGTGATAAACAGGAAAATGACCGTGTGTTAATGTTGTAAAATTCATCAATTATTTCAATTTCAGCTGTAAAGCAGCTCTACAGAAGAGAATAAAGTCAGATCAATGTTGATTCAGTTCAGTTCAATAACTGTCAGTGTTGCAAAGTTCCTTAATTGCGGAATTAATCTGAGTCAGTTAAAGCAGCTCTACAGAAAACAGTAGTCCCAATAATAACCGTCATGGCATACAATAATACACAATATCATGCAAACCTCACAATATTGCGTTTTTGTTTTTCAGTCATAAATAATAGAATCAATAATGCAAATGTCATCAAATATGAGACAAATCCAAATTCTGCTGTAAAGACAGTGTCATTATTCAGCTGCAGTCAGTTCAGTATAATATATGATTTTGTGATTTTTTGTTGTTGTATTTTTATAATACAGCAGTGGCCAAAAGTGAGATCTCTCAATATCCTCTCTCTCTCTCTGAGAAGTGAATGGCTGGGAGTGTGTATGCGTGAGAGTGGAGCATGTTGGTGGAAGCGGGTGTAAAAAACTTTGGTGCTTTTTATCTTTCTTTTATTTTTCTTTCCCCCTTTCTTTGGCAATATTATTTCAGACTAGAGTGGCGTTGTGTAATTTTGACCGCGCTTAGCGCGGTTTTTTTGTTGTTGTTGGCTGACATGGCTGACTGTGTTCGAGATGTGCCACACCTGACTCGGCGTAATGGGTGCAGGTGTGTGCCAGAACCCGGTGTAAGCGTGGAAGAGGTACTTGCCAGTGTCGGAGAACAAACTGGATTCGACAATATTATATCAGCTTCACGAATTAATAAGGCGATTGTTGTGTTTCTGAAAACGGAGCAGTTAATTAATCAGTTAACTGAGAGTGGTTTATGGGTGAGAGAAACGTTTGTGCCCGTGACTCCGTTAGCCGCACCTGCAACAAAAATAAATTAACGATCTTTGTTTTGTTTTTATTAATTTGTATGCACCTAATGGGGGATCTGATCGAATAAAAATCTTTAGCAAATTGCAGCATTTTTTAAGTCAAGAAAAAGATGAGGACTTAATCATTGTTGGAGGAGACTGGAATTGCACTCTTGATTTTAATGTAGACAGGAATGGAGAGGAACCATAGAAATTTATTCCCCCCCCCCTTCCCTTAATGTGTTCATGATATTAATTAATATATGATGGGTAAAAATGTGTTCATGATGTTGGAATAATTGTGATATAATAAAGGTTTGTTAAGCCTCTCTCTCTCTCTCTCTCGTGATAGTGACACACACACACCTGCATTACTGAGAGTCATTCTCACAGAGATCCGTCCTCGAGTGCTGGGTTTCCTCGCCGCTGTTGACCAAACACACGGGTATCAGATACAGCTCGTTCCTCGCTGGTGTCTGTATCCGGATCAGTAACACACCCCTCAAACCTCATTAGTTCGGCTGATCTTCTGATGAGAGGCGTGACAGGAGCGTCTGTCTGTCTGTCTGTGTTAGATTAGAGTAGATCTCATGTTGTGGATCAGCCCGAGGCGTCTCTCTCCTCAGAAACTGGTTTCTGGTTTTAACCCGGCTCACAGATCCGACCCTCGGGCGAAATCATTGATCAGCCTCCGAGGAGCTCCTGTCCTACTTTACTAGTTACTCTAATTATTACCACGGTAAACAGAACAGGCACTTCAGTACTATTTTAAAAGTTAGTCCTTTATTTAGAATTAGCTGTCTGTCTGCGCCTCTCGAGAATCTTTTAAGTTTAGAGCTAATAATACAGGCCTCTATATTATTACAAAAAGGCAGATTTCAAATTGAAACCCCTCCTTGTCTATATTTAGACATCATTTTTATTTTATTTATTTTAAGTTTTTTGTTTTCTTTTTCTCTTTTTTAGTTTATTATTTTAATAATTGCATTTTGTATTAGTTTTTCAGATTTTAATTATTTTTTCTGAATTCTTTTGACATTTATTTATTGTTTTGAATGGCCGCCAAATAAGCGCATCAGCCCTTGTTGCTCTCAGACTCAGTCATCTAATAAATGATCCAGATGCCAAGTGCAGATTATTTTCAGACATATTTGACATTTCAACTGTTAATAAAGAATAACAATTTGGTCCCTTTGTAAATTCTCTTTGCCACCTTGACAACTTTGACTTAAATGCTGTAGTGTTTGTGCTTGGCCGGTTATGATTGATCAGCATTAAATGTAAAGTTTCTTCATGCAGTCATGTGTGTGTGTGTGTTAAAGCATATCTCAGTAGCTTTGCTCCAGCTGAAGCTCTTAAATGGCCATCATTCCCTGCTATTGTTCTGTCCCGCGGTCTTTGACAGGCACTCAGGGATTGTTTGTGCGTCGGCCTCCATTAGCACGTGTGTGTGTGTGTGAGTAATTACAGCTGCTATTGTTCCTCTAAACGTGCTAATACATGAGTATCAGAGAGGTGTGAACTGAATCAAACGGCGTGTTAATCTGGTGTTAGGAGCTTGTTCGGTTATGATGCCATGCGTTTAGTCAGTTTGGCTTAAAGACTGGCTGGATTTTGATGTGAGAGACAACAGCAGAGGCACTTTTTCACTGGAGGAAGAGTTATTATGGATTATGAACTCAATGTATTTTAGTTAAAAACGTCTTAATGCTGGATGTGTTTCAGCTTGTGTCTTCTCCAGATGTTAACTGATGGACTGGAGTGCTGTGGATTATTGTGATGTTTTCATCAGCTGTTTGGACTCTCATTCTGACGGCACCCATTCACTGCAGAGCATCCACTGCTGAGACACTGATGCAGTGCTACATTTCTACAAACCTGATGAAGAAACAAACTCATCCTGATCTTAGACTGTGAGCATATCGGTGCCTTAAACAGCGGACAGACTGACAGCATGTTCACTGTGAGAGAGTGTGTGTGTGTGAGTGTGTGTTTTATGAGGTCAGTGAGCACACACACACACACTCTCACACACTCTCACACACACAAAGAGCTCCATCCCCAAAGACAAACACTGCTTGGGTGTAAATAACCCTGAAAACGTGGGTGTTTCATGCGAGTGAGTGGAATTCTCTCTCAGCCGGGACAAAAAGTAAACAACACAGGGGCGCAGGCCGCGGGAGAGAGAGCGAACAGACAGACACTTTCACCCCGAGACCCTCAGGAGCCTCTAACCAAGAACAACAGCTCCACAATACGATCCGCTCCGTAGATCGGTCAGAGGAGCAGAGAGACTTCAAAGAGCCAGTGACCGCCGGCGGGAACGAGAGTTTGACAGCAGCATCTCTCATGTGCTGCAGGAGGGGATTGTGGGAGTGCGATTACATCAGCGCCATCCAGAACCGGGTCGTAATGTTGACCACTTTAACACAATCACAGAGCACACGCGAGTCTGTGCTGACGGATCT